AAAATCATCTTCAGAATATATGTGTGTGGTTGTTTTGAACAACCTTTCCACAGGCTGCTATAACAATGACATCATCACAGTAACACACACTGAAACATCTGCTTTCACACTAGTGAGAATACAACTGTATAAACCAAAAAGAGCTATGACCATTCCTTTTTTAAATTCAATGTTAAACAGATGTGATAGAACAATTCAGTCCTGTCAAACTCCTTTCATATAATGCCAGTATGTTAAGATTGGGGATTTAATGGTGACACATTTGTTTTATATGGAATAGTAACACAATGTGACTAGGAAAAAGAAAAAATGCATTTTTTTCTTGCTAGTAGGCTCTTTTATTTCAATGCACAGTACTCTAACACCTCCTAGCTGTTCCAAACCTTACTCAGATTCAGAGGCTGTTGGAGATTTACCTGCAGTAAAAAGATTGCAATTTTTAGAGAACAAAAGCCAGCTGGGAAATGATGTCCCATTGTACAGTTTTTCAAAATGTGCTGCACCACCTTGCCTCCAAAGACTCATAAACTTTATGCCAGCCAAAAAGTCTTTAAAAATATCTGTATTAGAGTCTTACTGTCCTCAGAAAGGATAATGCATTGTTTTTACTTGCTTCTAATTAGTAATTTAAGCATATGTTCAGCATTTAACTCTAAATGTTTGCCTTTTCCCCAAGCTCTAAGACAGCTGTCCAAGATGTGAATGCCAGAAAGCATTTAAATATCAACATCTGTTGAATTATGTTAATGCAATGTAATATAATTGGGCATGAGTTGGAATTGATCAAAAGTATATGAATTAGACAAAGACAAATCTAAACCAATATTTTGTTTCACAAACAAGTCAAAGGTAACACAAATCTGTTTGTTAAATCCACATGATCAGAGCACAATATTCAGGACATCCCAGTCGAAAAATTAAAATGAGAAAATGCAATTATTAAAAAAATCAAACATTCTTGTAGAAATTGACTCCTATCATTAGTGTTTTGTTAGTTTTTGTCTGGGACTTTATTCATTTCTAGAAGTTTGTCATATACAATTCTAATTAAAATACGTATTATGGCATACCACAGAATAATTCAGAATAAGGATATGTAATTCAGACCTTAGTAAAGTAGAAAATGAGATCTGGATACTACAATCCTATTGCTTCAGTTCTCCTGAGAAAACTAAAACTAGAATTTGTATTACACAAATTGTTGCAGATAAACTAGTAATTGTTTCTGCTTCTAATGTTTCCTTGATTTGTTGATGGATGTCTGAAATTAGACTCTGAACATACATGGCAATATCAAATGCTGCCTCAGTAATGATACAGGAAGCTAGCAATTCTTAAAGCAACTGCAAATGTGTCAAAATGCTAGTTTCTGAAATGGAGGAGGTCACAGCATCTCCTAAAGAGAAGCTTCATTGAGTTGTCCTGTCTTGTGTTCTGGTTTCTTTCTGAGGCTACTTTAGGAAATGTTACCTTCTAACAGTGGCTGGTCCTGCAGGTGTAATAGAGCAAGCAGAATAGATAACACTGCCCATAAAGTTCATCATAAATACTTTAAAAATACAGCATATATAAATACAATTGATTTATCAAATTTGAGAAGCTTTTTTTCAATTGAAAAATCCATATTAGATCCCTATCAAGCTATTCCTAACTGGATGTTGAAAAATACCTTAGTGGTAACAGTGAAAGGAAAAATGAAAGGAAAGAAAAGGAAAATGTACAAAAGCTGTACAAAAGCTTTACATCCAACTTGTGCAAAAGGATCAACTTTGCAGCTTAGCAATTTCAGGAAGGAAAAAAATGCATGTGGTATGTAGAACAAATGTCCAGCATAACTCACTGGAAAAGAAAAACTAAACTGTGCAGACTCTGAAGTCTATGAAATAATGCCACAGTAATTAAAACTCTGTATAAATAAACTTTATACTTTTCTGAGTGTTACAGGACTGAAGGTCTCTTTTCTTCCCTGTATAATTCTTCACAATATGTTTAAATAATTTATTAAAAAGGCTACTAAAATAATTACAACAGTAGAAAAGCAGCAAAACATTTTAGGTAGTGTTGGACCATATTTCACAAAGACTGAAGTGCTATCCAGTCAGCAATTTCCAGTAATGGAACAGCTTCTTTCAGCAGAAGTGGGCAGTAATTCTCCTTTCCCCCACCTCTGTCCCTCAACTGGGGAAACATGGGGCCTGCAGGAGGAGGAGGGAAAGGAAAATTATCTTATGCAAACAGGTGTGCTCAAGCAAGTCCACAGCAATGCCCACAGCAATGCAAGGCTTTTTGAGTTTTAAAATCCTTTTTATTACTTTTTAAAATCACATTTCTTATTTGTAGGGAGTCAGACAGAATTAACTTGAGCACTTCCGGCTTGTACGCTGTTGCCCCTTGGAGCTGAGATATTAAAGGCTGCAGAACAATATTCTCCTCTCCAGCATGACTGTAAACCCCATTCCCATCACTACAACAGCCAGTTGATTGATTCCTCATGACCTGGTTGGCCATTCGTAGAGAAGAGTCAAGGGGTGGGGGGGAGACAAGAAAAAAGCAGCATTTTCTAGGGGTGGGTGAGAAGGAAGATTCCCTCCACAAGGACCTTTTAGGATAACTTTCCAATTGAAAAGTGTTGAATTAAGAAGTGTTTTAGTTTAAAATGAAGAAAATGTTTAAGACAAGGTGGTAACAAATTGCTACCCAGCTTTACTATTCCAATATATTTTCTTAAAAAATCTGTAATAAGAAGACATTTATAGGAAGATTAGAGAGGCAAAGATGTATAATTTCTAGACATTTTGAAGACATGAGGAAAATATGCTTTAATCTTCTAATATTCCTAGTAGTTATTTATTCCATTATTCATTAAAATGATTGATGGAATGCATCTTTTACAAATTTGAATGCTTCAAATCATACTCAGTTTCCTAAAAGTGAGACTAGAATACCATATTCTACAGTGTGAATAAAATATGAATTCTTGACAGTTTGGATTTTGCTCTATACAGTCTTGTGTTTGGGGACTTGCTGTGGTTCGATGCAATAACAGTCAATTACTAGGATCAGATGACAAGGATAGACTATGGATGGAGGGTGAGGTGTCACTGAACCATGGGTCCTTGTTAAAATGTGGTTGATTGTGTTGTTTGAACCTAGCCAAGATAACAAACTAAGGTGAACAACTTGTATTTCACTAGCCCAACAACAAACCATGGATTCTCTTCATGGGTTGTTCATGGTGAATAAGCCATGAAATCAAGTTTAGAGGAAACATTGTTCTTCCTAAAATAATCCAGGAGGTTTAGATCTGTGAAGAGTGCTAAGAATTTTCCTGAAAATTTATATTTTTCCCCTCAAGCCTTCAACACTTCAGAAATTTTACAGTTTAGGTCCTACATTTATCTAGATCTGGCCTTGCACCTGTCTCAATTTGCCTTTATTCTACTTACCTACATTTTGCTCTCCTCAGAGGAATTTCCTAGCTCAGAGATCATGAAACTATTTTGTACCTAGTTGGACCCTTTTGTAGGCAGGAAGAATGCAATCAGCTTCTTAAAACATCAAGTAAAAACATCCTGATATATTGCTATTAAGGTATGATTTGTTCACGTTGTATACAATCTGCATTCACTCCTTTGGTGCTGTCATTATTTTCCACAAAAGCCACATTAAACAATTATAGTTCTGGTAATTAACCAGTAAGTGTAATGTTCAGTTTTCCTACCCCAATCTATTAACAGCTGCTCAAAAAATGTAGTAATTAATGGTTTCATTTATTTTTGGCAATCCTACAACACGACAAATAATTTTCTATCTACTGCACATTAGGACTGCTTCCCAAACAACAGATGACGTGGTGGGAAAAAGGGAGCAGGCATAACACTCGCACATCTTTGCCTCTTTAGAAGATCAAATAAAGAGCAGCTGTAATTCTATTTGTCACATCTGTGTAACAAAATATAGTCATCTGCATCATCAGAAGAAAATGAACAAGCTCTGTTCAGATGGAAAGAGGTTTCCCACCAACCTGATGGGAAAAAGCTTGCTACAGGCATAATGGAAATTTTTGTTCTCAGCTCTTCCACTGAGATCCTCTCCACCCCACAGTTTTTAATTACCTGTTGATATTGGCTACTGTTAATACCAAAATTAAAGATAATCACATAAAGATATAAGTATTATTTAGTCAGATATCATCAAAATAGTCCTGAGATCAATTAGGCTAGATATGCTAAAAGAAAATGAGATAGTGAGAAAAGTTAGAGATACAAATTTAAATTAATCCTTCAATACCCACATAATACCCTTGCAGAAATTTTCCATTCCTCCAGAAAGCAACATTTTGGAAAAATAAATTTAGTAATGGATCAACTAGCCATGAAATATGTGCCTTAATTTTTTGGTGAACTTCCAATTCACACTGCAATGCTCATTTCTAATGCCATGAACAAGATCAAAGAGGGACTAGCATGTGGGATGCTTGTGAAGAAAAGGTAGTAAGTAGAGAAATTAATTTTTAATTTGGGGAAGGAAATAAAAGTGTTCATTTTAAACCCTGGCTGTGGTACTAACAGATTAGAAGACAGGTATCCCAGTTATGAAAATGACATCAGCACAACCATCAATGGAATCTAAACAGAACAGTTCTCATGTACGTATATGTGAGTATCACAGAGACACACAAAAGTTTTCTTATTCAATGCAACTAAATGCCCAGGGTATTTTCCTTGTATGCACAATTTTCCTCTTCTAATTATGAAATTCCTAGAACTATAAGCAGTGGTATCTGTACCCATGTATCTTTTGGAATCATTCTTAAAAACTCAAGTGAGAGTCAGTAACAGTGATCACTTTAATCAGACCTCAGTAGATGAGTCCTAATTAGACACAGACACATTCTCTGCCGTACTGTACCTAGAGCAGCACTTAAACTACTAGGTAAAATATTAGCTTAGAATCCAAATGTTACCTGAAATGTAAACTGCACTGCATATTAAACTTACCTGCTAGCTGTTTTCACTGAGATGTTTTTCTTGTGTCCTCTCTCTGATCGATTGTCCCGCAGGAGTTGAAGCTAAACAAAACATTCAAAAATTACATAAAAACCAATCTAATGCTTGCATTTTAAGAAATAAGTACTTCTAAGCCTTTCATGCTTTTGTACAATGCTTCTTAAAAACAAACAAGCAAGCAAGCAAACAAACAAAAAACAGTCTTGAAAAAACGTATCCAAGTTGCCAATACAGTAAAAACACAACTCGAATTCTGATTTTTCCTTATTCTTCCATAATTGTATTCTGATAAAGAAAGCCCTATACTGCAGTAAAAATTTCAGGTATATTCAGATGTAATGGATAAACCAGAATTCTGGAGAATCTCGGCTTACTGTGGATGAGCTGCATGTTGGCGCATCCTACTCCCAGTATAGCAGGCCCTAAATTAACAATGAATAGCTTGCCATATTGCCTGAGCTGGGGCTTCCAGCATGTTGTACCATAACCAATCCATTCAGGGTTTGTTCTTATTTTACATATGCTAACTTGTTTGGGATGAACAATCCTGGAGTTCGGGCTCTGAATTACACACTTAAGTTATTTATTCCTTATCAGTTTAGTATAGGAGTAGGCAATCAGGTCCTTTCAGAAGTTTTGGAGTACAACTGCCACCGTCCCTGAAGACTGGCCTCACTGGCTAGGGTTGATGAGAGGTTTCAAAAACATCTGGAGGTTTAGCAGCTCCCAAATGGCAGGGAGAGAACCACCCCAGTTCAGTGGCTCCCAGGGACCAGAAGAGTGCAAATAGGTTATGTACATTGTACACAGTCTTCCACAGTAAGCCAGAATTCTCTGGAAATCTGGTTTACTTTTGCCTAAAAAAATACAAATCAGAAATATAATATCACTATCTCCCTGAATTTTAAATAAGCAGTTGATGATTTGAGATGCTCCAATTCAAATACAAACGGTCTAAAATGGGGCTAACAGTGGTCTATCAGAGAGTGTTGCTGTAAAAATGAATACGTATTATATACACTAAAACCCTACTTTATTCTTAATAATAATTTAAAAAACAACAAAAAGTCATTTTTTTTCATTGATACATTAAAACTTTCTGAATTGTCCTTTATCTCAGAGGATACCATGGTAAATCTAATATACAAATATGTTTACAGAAATGAATGCAATAAATTCTATTGTCTTCGTTTAGAACTGACAAAAAATAAACAATTAATTAACAATTAGTTAAATTGAGTTGATGCCAAAACTATTGTGGTGTTTTGCACCTTTTTTGAGGAGGGTATTCTGCAACTGGGGCATCACAAACAAAAAAGTGTTCTCCCTTACTGCTGAATAATGTACCCAAGGCACTCGGAGAAAAGCTTCCCCAGATGATTTTCAGGTGCTGACACGCCTTTCCCATGGCTTTCCCATATTTCTGGACAGGGACCTATTATGCAACACAGCTCTAATAGATAGTGAATTATTAGTTATGTAACTTCTATAAGCTATAAATATTTCATATGAAAACAATAATTAATTTGAACAGAGGATTTGAAAAATAACTCCATAGCTAAGAGCATAACCCAAACCCCCTGATGTCTGAAGGCTAGAGGGGCTGAAGGCAGCATGTTAGTACCTTCTACTGGCCTCTGCCAGCAAAGAGGAACGCTGCTGCTGGTGTTGCTGCTGCCACAGTTGCATAGCTCTGCTGGACAGTGTTGCCCACAGTGCTCAGGGAGCCAGCCAGCACTGTGGAGCTGGTGTAGTTAATTGTTCCATCTCATCACCATTGGTTTAGTGGGGGAAAATGTAAAAACAAAGATCCGCCTCCCCTGCTTTTCTACCATGGCTAAAGTGATCTGGCAGGACTTGAATGAGAAAGTAGATTTATCTCATCACTCCTTATTAAGGATTGCTGTGACCCTTGTTATTCAAATGAAAACAAAGAATGTTCATAGAATTGAAGATCTATTCAAGATTAAACCCTATGATTAGTTATTATTAAAAATCTGAGTTTTTAAAAGCCTGGTACTTGTAGACTGTGAGCAAAGAAAGGCACAACTACAAAATCACTACAAAAACAAGAAAATAATAATCTCAAAACAGTAAAGCAACATTAATTTAAATAAAGTTGAATAGAATTCAATTGCCAAATGAGGTAGCCAAATGGTTGAACCAGTACTTAAGGGAAGTTTTTATTGATTTTTTAAAGAAAGAAATTGGATTTCAGATTGCAAATTCTGTCACAAGAAAATGATGCCAGATCCTTAACACCCCTACCCCAGGACCTTGAGTTATAAATCTCATACTGAAGAATGTTCCAAGTCTACTATTACCATAGATACCAAAAAGACCTGTCTGCAGGCCAACCCCTCAATCAAAAGAAGTCTCAGGTGAGGTTTCTAAATTGTATTTGAAGCCCAATTTATGACATGAATGCACTGCTTATCTCCATTTAGTTATGATGAAAATTTATGATGTAAATTTTCCAGCAAAACAAAGAAACTAATCCTTAACATTAATGTATTGCATTAATGTTAGAAATGAACATGGATATTTATACTATTTGTTTCAATATTGAGTCAAAAGTTAATTAGACAGCCCATGTCAGTCAGACAGAGCCTTGAGCCTGAGATACCCCAAACCTAGCCTTTTGTGCTACTGCTGTGAGGAGAAAAGCCCAGTATAATTTATATTAAAATGCTTGCCTGGGGCTTTACTTTTGTTTATGTCTCTGTTTTATATCTCCAGCTGACTGAACACATCTATACTTACAAATCTAAAACAAAAAAGATCAATCGTGTTATTATATAACATAGATTCCTTTATCAATTATCTTGTAGTTTTAGTTTATTAAACTGTAAACAGCCCTGAAATTTATGACTTGTCTGCTCACCTGGGGAAAATAGCATGCATTAAGCATTCTGGAGCTAAGCAGGTCCTGGTCTGGTCAGTACCTGGAAGGGAGTATGTATGCAGCTTTGAGCTCCATGGCCAAAAAGCAGGATATAAATGTACTAAAAATACTAACTTATCCTTGCTTTTAAACATTCCCAAGTAAAATTCTGAACCTCACTCATGTGGGTACTTTTGCACTTGTTCACCAAAGGATAAGTAGTTTAGAAGGCAGGTGCAGAACAACAAGGAGTTACCAGATATACCATTGTACTTGCTGGAAAATTAAGAGAAAGTAAATTTCTCCCACTTCTATGGTCAATCATATGCTTCTTGAAAACTAACAAGTGGTCCTCTCCTACTATTTGCCCTGTGTTTATCTAATCCTTTTAAAAAAGCCATTTGAATCAGTGGCCACCACTACAGCCCGTAGAAGTGCATTCCAGATTTTAACTATGGCTTCACAATAAAAAGCATTTCCTTTTATCTCTTCTGAATTTCCCACCATTTAGATTAACTGGATGGGTTCTAAAAGTATGAGAATGAATTAAAACTTTACCTATTTACTTAATACCATGCATCATTTTATACATCTTATCATGCCCCCCCCCACTTTCTTGATGTGGGAAACTTCTTACCAAAATATTTAATATGTCCCTAAATCCAGCCTTTGTACAGGAGGACTGGAGAATGGAAAATGTAACACAGATTTGAAAACGAGAACCAGGGAATTACAGGCCCATTAACATCTGTTCTAGGTGAACTGCTTCAAAGATAAAATAAATGGCAATCTCTCCCAGTGGAGAGATGTCACACTTAGGAGTCCCACAGGGTTCTGTATTAGGACCAATGTTTTTCAACCTTCACCATGCACCTATTCATAAATGATCTGAAATTATGACACTAAGCTATTTAGGGTGGTTAAAACCAAAGGGATTATGGGCCTCCCCAACGGGATCTCTCCAGGCTGGGAGATGTGCATCAAAATGGCAAATGCAGTTCAATATAAGCAAGTGTAAAGTAATGCACCTTGGGAAAATAATCCCAAAGGAGTTAGCAGTGACAGAGTAGAAAAAGGTAAACTTCATGCTAGGCATACTTAGGAACCAAACAGAAAATAGAACTGTTTTCGGACCCAGAGAGGTCCGCCTGGCGCTGTCGTTATTTGTTTTTTGGCGCCAGGTGAAGACCTTTTTATTCAAGCGTTATTTTAATTGTTAATATTATTTATTTTATTATTTGGCCAGGGCAACTTAAATTATACTGTTTTATACTGTGTTTATTTATTTATGATTGTGAGCCGCCCCAAGGCTTCGGCGAATGGGGCGGCATAGAAGTTCTCTAAACAAACAAACAAACAAACAAACTGCCAAGATCTTATTCTCCATAATCAAATCTTCGTTATGATCACACTAAGAACATTGCATTTGGTTCTGGTCACTTCACCTGAAAAAGGACATTACTGAGTTAGAAAAAGTACAGAGAAGGGCAATAAATAATCTAGGGGTTAGAGCAACTCCCCCATTAGAACTGGCTAGAACAATTGGAATTGTTTAGCTTAAGAAAATGGTGAGTAAAAGCACATGGCAGAGGTGTTTAAAATAATGCATGGTGTGAAGAAAGTGGTGTAGAAGAGATTTTTCTCCCTCTTCCATTACACTAGAACCCAGGGTCATCCCAAGAAACTGATTGGTGGGAGATTTGGGACAGATAAAAAGAAGTACTTAGACAGCATACAGTTAAACTATGGAATTTGCTGCCACAGAAAGTGCCAATCTGGATGGCTTTAAAAAGGGATTGGACAGATTCATGAAGGAGGAGGCTATCAGCAGCTACTAGCCTTGTGTGTTGTCTCCTTTACCAGAGGTGGCATGCCTGCATGCACCAGCTGCTGAGGAGCTTGGGCAAGTGGTGATCATGCACGTTCTGCTTCAGCAATCCTGTGTCCAGCTGGGTTGCCACTGTGTTCATGGACTAACGGACCTTTGGTCTGATCCAGCATGGCTTTTTTAATGTTTCTGTGCTCATGCCTTTTCTAAACTAAATTGCCCTAAATGTTGTAACTTTTCTTCGCAAAGGAGTTATTTCAGTCCCCTGAACATTTTGCTTAATCTTTTCAGCACTTTTTCCAGTTCTATCATATCTGGAAGAATTCCAAGTGTGGTTGAGCTACAGGATTATATAAAGCTATTCTGACATTAGCAGTTTGATTTTATTTACTTATTAAATTTATATTCTTGTCTTTTTTTCTTTTTAAGAACACAAAGAGGATTTTATCATTCTCCTCCTGCTGCTTTCAATCTTATTCCCCACAACAACAACCCTGCGAGATAGGTCAGGCTGAGTATGTGACTGGTTCAAAGTTATCCATTTGGCTGCATGGCTGAGCAGGGACTACAATACAGATTGCCTGAGTCCCAGTCCTACTAATTGTCACTAGCATGGAACTCACACAATTCTTACCTGATGTACACTTGGTTTGTATTCCTATTGAGTTACAAATCAAAATGCCCAAATCTCTTTCTAGCTCAGCCTCCATGAAAAGCTAGGAGGTTTTGCCCCAGTGCACATCACTATACTTACTTGAACTGGACTACATTTGCCATTCTGTTTGGAGAGATCCTTTATGAACTCTTCATTATCCTGGTTAACCGAAGTAGCAGCAGGACAATAACGGTAAAGAGGACACTGGTAGCAGCAGCTGCAGGTAGGCCATCAGTTCCAAAATAATATTTACTGTCTAGCCTGGTTTTAATTTTAGGCTGAAAAATCTTTGTGGTGACTTGGTAATATGTTTTTGTCATGTATCCAAGATAATGGGAACATTTAAAGTGAAACAAAGTACTGTAATGGCCTTTTTTATGCCACCTTCGTGAACATCCATAAACAATCTGAGAGGAGGGCAGGGCCCCCCCGTTCCCAACATTTCCCCTCCTCATCTGCTTCCCACATGACCAACGTGTCCTGAGGGGAAAGGTCCAAAAGTCCCATGTTTGGTTCAATGTGCTTACAACTGGCTGCTCAGATTGTGCAGAGCACCTAATGGCAGACAGAATACTAAGTGTTTTCAGTCAATGTGTAAAGGTCAGGGCTGGTGTCAGCAGGGACAGAGACAATGCACAGAGCCTTGCTCCTTCTTTGAATACATGGGGGAATAATATCTGAAGGAGGAAACACATGTGGGAGCTTGCCCATATCATTTGCTGTATAATGCTGGAGAGAATGTGTGTGCTGATGACTGCTGAGAATGTACAATTATGCCCATGCAGCTTTTGACAGGGCTACATGTTGTTAAATACTTTCAGCAGTTTTCAGTAGAAATCAGAAGACGTTATACTTCTTTCACAAACTGGTGCTTCTGTTGCTCCAGACAAGCGACAGTTAAATTCCTCAAATATATGAAATAAACTGTTCTTGATCAAAGTGGTTCTTACCTGGCTATGTTCCTTCCTAGCCCCAGGGCTAAACCAATGGCTATGGGAGGGAAAAAAAAAAAGGTTTAGTAACACAGCTAGCTGAAGCACGAGCTGTCATATGACCAGCCTGTGCGTGCTCTCGGGTATTTTATTGTCCACTAGAAAAATGTAGCCTTTGGCTATGATTTATTTAAATAGGATATTTTACAGAACTCTCAAGGTCTGTAGCAGTTTTCATAGGCATGTATCTCATTCCACACATTTCTACTGCTTAGACAAGTGGATATATATTTAAATCAATTTGAAAGAGTTTCATGCCACAGATTCTACAATTCTTTATATATTACACCATTTTCATGATATTTTTGACTGTATTCATGCTACTAAAATTTAATGTTCTGATTACTATATAATGGAAACTTTAAAAAGTGTGGATGTCTAACAGAAACATGTTTATTCATATTTACAGTTTTGGATTAAGGCCTATGCCCTGTTACATACACACTTGCTTATATGATCCTATGACCATTCACGTAGTGTTGAACACAGTATTTAATGCCAGTTGATGATGCTTACTTTCAGGTAAGTGTGAAAGCTTTAATGTCCAATAATAATAGTAATAGCAATAATAATAGTAGTAGTAATGAAAAATCAAATGTATTACATATCTTTTTTACACTCCACAGAACTAACATAATAACACTGCAGTTCATGACTATTTTTTCCCCTTTTAGTCACTCCATGGGGTGATTTGGACTGGCTCTTATTGCTCAACAAGCTTGGGGTCAAGATGCTTCAGGTGCTCTTAAGCACAAACTGCAAAATTAATTGCAGAATTATCAGTAGGTAACAAAGGCAATCAATGTTTTTTAGTAAGAGGAAGGAAAATGCGTTAAGCCCATGTCAGTATCACTGCTTAGGCTTTTTATCTGATTGCAGGAATTCAGGGACCTGGTTCACACATCAAGCTATGCCAAAGTGGTTGTTCTTGTGGGTGCTTGCACAACATGATGTCTGAATCAGAAGCAGTTTTTCCATCATGGATTGTTTTTCACAAACAACCCTCACTGAGAACACATGGCTTGTAGTAGGAATATTTAGAGTGATTTGTTTTCAAGATGGCTTCTTGTAACCTTCAAACCCAGCCTGACAATTTCATCAGGGTTGTCAGAAATGACCAGAGAGCCATGGAATGTATATTTTAGTAATCTGCATCACTTGTCTGTCCTGAAATGTGTGCATCTCTACCTATTCAGTTCCTGCTCTACTTTGACATTTGCATATGCAGAGCGATTCCACTCACTGCTCTGTAATCCTCATGTATATTTGACAGCTACTAACAGAGACTAGTGGAAGGAAGAAGGGAAGCAACACACACAAAGCAGGAGGAGGCCAAAAGGAGCTGGTAGCTGTAGGAGAGAAGGAGCTTTGATGTAGATGTTATTATTTGAGTAGAATATGTAGCAGCCTTTTTTAAAAGGTGATTGCTAGCAAAGAAATTCTGAAATGGAAGATGAAATTGACAAGGATATTGATAAGAGGAGGATATTGGTATGCTTAGCTAAATAGCAGACATGTGGTCTTGTGCACTTGTGCAGTATCTCCCCATAAAAATTGCACACACATTCCAACATTCAAACGGGTGAAGAAAATTACTTCCTTGTGGTAATCAAATGCAGCTTTGCTAGTGAAGTACTAAAGTGGAGATGACATGGACAAGGCCACTGTCCAGAAGGAGATATGGCTATGTGGGGCTCAGTAGCAGACAGGTAATCATGTTCCTGATAGTTGTGCAAGTGTTCTAAATTTATTTATTTAAAGCTAGCAAATGTGGCCCTGCATTCATATGAGCTCAGAACTGTAAATTCCTTTGGTGAGCTGATGTGGGAGGATAGAGAGAGTTTTCCCTTGTGATATGGCAACCCCAGTGGACCCATTGTAGAAAGGGTGTTGCCGCAGGAGATGAAGAAATGAGGATTTCTGCCATTAAGACTCCTGGGATAAGTACTGAAGGAGAAACAAGCCCCGGCAAGCCACTGAGTTGTCTATTAGGGGTAACCAAAAAGCCTCCTAGCTACTATGACTTATTCCCAGGGTGGATTAGCATGACATGCAGAATTGCTCATTAGCTTACAAATGTCAGGGTGTGTTTTCAAAAATTACAAGCATAATGTAATAAGAGGACATTTACAGAAAGACTTAGAGATGTAAAATGTCTCAAAATAATGAAGCCATTATGGAAAATGTTAATTCTTCCTTTAAGATTCCCAACATAATTATTTATTCAATTCCTTATTAAAATTATAGATCTACTGTATATATTACTGACAGACATGTGAGGATGTGAGTGATCTATACAGTAGATCTATAATTTTTGCTTAGTTCCTAACATGTGAAGTGAAGTCTCCATACCACAATATGAAAGAAAATGTGTATACATGCCAGTTTTGCAGCCCACTGTTTTGGTGCTTGTTTGAATTGGAAGCTGTAGCAGTCAATTAATGTAGTTCTAAAACCCACATTTGTCCTTGTGGGGTGGGGAACCTAACCTGTAGGATACCACATCACTTTCACCAGATGTTATGGAACAGCAGATAAGTTATTCTGCCTATGTTTCTTTTTTAAAAAGGTAACTCTGAACCTTTGTCTACAAAACTCAATGACACAGTTTTTAATACTCAGTACTCAGTCAGACCTCACAAGTAGGGAATGCTATAAAACCTATTAACTGCTTCAACTACAATAAGCCCCCTATGATGTCATTTTTGTTGTTAAGTGTTGTCAAGTTGTCTGTTTTATTGTGACCCCTCCAAAATGTCCTATCTATGACAATCTAATCCAGAAATTCTAATTTCAAGGCCATGGTTTCCTTTATGGATTCAATCCATCTAGTGCTTTTCTTCTTTTGGCTTTGAGTTACCTAGCATGATTGTCTTCTCCAGTGAATGCTGCCTTCTTATGATGTGTCTGAAGTATGAAAGCCTCAGTATTGTCATTTTTCCTTCTAGGGAAAGCTCTGGATTGATTTGCTCTGGGACCCACTTGTTTGTTCTTGTTGATCTAGGGTATTTGCAAAGCTTTCCTCCAGAACCATGTTTTGAACACATCAGTTTTCTTCCTGACAGCTTTCGTTACTGTCCAGCTTTTCACACCCATCTTTGGATCAAGGACAGGTTTAGAAAATGTCCTAAACTTCCTTACAAACAGGAACAGATGTTGTACATCAGGAAGAACATCTACTTCTTCCTGCTTCTGCTGGCTTCTAAGATGATTCAGAAGTTTGCGGGACTACTTGGTGAGGTTTCCTTTTTGAGACAAAAAACAAGAACCTTAAACATAATGTGAATAACTTGGTTTGCTCATAAACACACCATGTTTGCTATATTAAATTAAAAGGCATAGTTTATTTAGTCAGTAATTACAAATTTAATGAGTTTATTTTTACAGTATTTACATATAATGTTAATTTATAAGCAAACTAAGTTATATATAATATGACTTTAGGAACATCCAAAATACCTGAAATGTACCATGTTGTGAAGGATGTCCTAAATTAACTAAGTGACTTTACATATTGCTTATTTTTTATATTTCCATAAGTGTCTGTTTTTTACAAGCCCTTGGGGATGAAACCCTCATATTTTTCCATGGCTTCAAAATTTCTGGGCATTTTACATCTTTGAAAATGCATCTGATGAATTGTATTCTATTCCATTAAGACTTATACCAAAATAAACGTATTCATCTTTAGGAAGGAACAAGACTCTTTGTTAAATCGTGCAAAGCAGCTCATATGCATTTCTCTTACCCCAGGATTGATTGATTGATTGATTATTTATTTATTTATTTGGAGTGCTTGTATGCTGCCCCATTCGCATAAGCCTCGGGGCAGCTTCCAAGAAATAAGCAACAATATACAAAAACACAGGATAACACTGTGTGTTAACTTACACTCAGTGGAGAAGTTCAAAAGAAGCAAGCAGTGATGGGCAGCTGCATGTAAGATATGATGCCTTGTTTCTTCCTTATTCACACTCCTAGTTTTATGAAGGAGAATGTGAAATATGCTATGCACTGAAAGAAACAGTACAAGGAGCACCATTTTGGCATCCATGCACAAATGCCAGTAGTGGGAAGGACTGTACATGCTCAAAGTACATGATTAGAATTTCAAATAGTCTTGACAGACTGGGCAATTAGGGCAAGATTCAAGATGTAATTAAAACAAGGACAAATTTAAACTAAGCAGAAGTAATGAGAACCCTGACATGTATGCATATATGTATGTATTTATTTATATACCGCCCAATAGCTGAGACATGGCTACTTACTCATGGTGATGAGACTCCTGGGACAAATGTACAGATTTCTTATTACTGCATGAGCCCGGAGTAGTTATCTAAAGGAAGTATAAAAATAAACAAGTTTTATAAGTTATATGGAGAAATTTAGGTTTAAGCAGTAAGTACTGCATACAAAGTATCTATTCAAACACCAGAACCATCAATAAGACATATAGTATAAAGGAGTTATTGACCATTTGTTCCCATATGCGTATGTGTGGAGAGAGTGTGCATGTGCACACATATGCGCACAAAGCTATAATGAAAGTTCTCATGCTTGATGCTGATGCCAAATCCAAACCAGTCAGAGATTTATAAGCAGTCTCTTCATGTATCCTGAAGAGACTATGATCAAACAGCCATTCTTTTTTCTAAATTT